CCCCGGCGGAACGTACGTGTAAAAGACTCTGCTCTATTTGCGTCCGTGGAATGTCATTTCGCGTTCGTTGTTCCTTCTTTCTACTTGTTTTGCGGCGAGTCGTGACACGAAGCCCTCCCGGAGGTATTTAAGACTCTCGAGCTCTGCAATGCAGCCTCCATTAAGAGGAATGACGGAATCGCTTGTGAATTTTTTTTCTTTCAAGGAAACCGAAAGATACTTGAAAGTCTTTCGGATCGCGATGTTACTAGATGTGCGAGAAGAAAGCTGGTTAGACTATTCGATCTCTTTAGCAGTTAGCTGTTGCAATCTCTTTGAAAAGTGTGCGAGTTACTGTAATTATACTGTACATGTTTGATTGTCTTCGTACTTAATTATATGAATAGAGAATATCAATAATAATATATCTATAATATGTAAAGAATAAATAATAATAATAATAATAATAATAATAATAATAATAATAATAATAATAATAATAATAATAATAATAATAATAATAATAATAATAATAATAATAATAATAATAATAATAATAATAATAATAATAATAATAATAATAAAGGATATCAATGACACACATTGATATCCTTTATTAGAAGGATACATAATCCTTCTTAAACAGATAGCTAAATTCGACGAGTACATTCGTCGTGAAGAGATGGAGTCGAAAACAGCTAACTGATTAATGTAACTGAAACTAGAGACTTCAAATTTATCGCAATTGATCGTATTTTAACTCTTCTGTATTCTAATCGACCTAGCAACATTCAGTTTGCACGAATATGTTGCAATAAAATTGTAACAAAAATGTATACTTAATTATATGAATAGAGAATATCAATAATAATATATCTATAACATGTAAATAATAATAATAATAATAATAATAATAATAATAATAATAATAATAATAATAATAATAATAATAATAATAATAATAATAATAAAGGATATCAATGACACACATTGATATCCTTTATTAGAAGGATACATAATCCTTCTTAACCAGATAGCTAAATTCGACGAGTACATTCGTCGTGAAGAGATGGAGTCGAAAACAGCTAACTGATTAATGTAACTGAAACTAGAGACTTCAAATTTATCGCAATTGATCGTATTTTAACTCTTCTGTATTCTAATCGACCTAGCAACATTCAGTTTGCACGAATATGTTGCAATAAAATTGTAACAAAAATGTATACTTAATTATATGAATAGAGAATATCAATAATAATATATCTATAACATGTAAATAATAATAATAATAATAATAATAATAATAATAATAATAATAATAAAAAAGGATATCAATGTATGTATCCTTCTTAACCAGATAGCTAATTTCGACGAGTACATTCGTCGTGAAGAGATGGAGTCGAAAACAGCTAAGGATATCAATGTATGTATCCTTCTTAACCAGATAGCTAATTTCGACGAGTACATTCGTCGTGAAGAGATGGAGTCGAAAACAGCTAACTGATTAATGTAACTGAAACTAGAGACTTCAAATTTATCGCAATTGATCGTATTTTAACTCTTCTGTATTCTAATCGACCTAGCAACATTCAGTTTGCACGCATACATTGCAATAAAATTGTAACAAAACATCATGAGATCTAGTCCAAAAATTGGGCATTCGGCACGTTAACGAGGTCACCGAAATGTATTTATTGGACAAGTCGATATAAAAAATGAAATGTTAGCAAAAAGGATTGAGCTTAAACGAGACTTTTAACCAGTCAGCTGTTTTCGTCGTAACACGAAGTGTTGCTATTTCTTGCATCATACTTCGATATTCTTTGATAAATTATATATTTTACAAAAGCGTTGTATTTAAACAAAATAGGAAGAAAATCAAACAAGTATAATATGGTTACGTTAAGTTGTATACTTTTTCGATTTACCGTTAGTTTAACGTGGCCTTGATTGGAAATTGTCGCTGAAATCGAGGATACCAGAGGAGGACGTCGTCGTTTTCGGGCAAAATGCCACGCAGCAATTTCCTCGAGATTGTAAGCTGAATTTCTAAGGAAGCGGTATTTGACATTTTCCCTGATACCAAGCGAGAGAGATTATTCGGCGAAATGTCTTGTATTTCTTCTGTATCTGTCGCATAGCAAAACTACGGACGAAAATATTTTCGGGGCGATTCGTATCTACTGTATACATACGTATGCACATAATATGCATGGTTTCCTGTAGTTATGACTAGATATTTGCATGTCCGCACACGGCGACTCCTATTAACACTTTATGGGAACTTTTATGTTCCTCAAGCACGAATTTTGTATCATAAAACAACGCGTAACACTGTCTAATTTTAACTTTCTTTTTGCGTTCCGATGACCGACCGGCGCCTATTGTAGCTTTTGATGCGCTATTATACGAAAGTGATTTTTCTCAGCTTGAAATATAACGTTCTTCCAAACCTTAAGAATTTTGTTCCGCCTTAATTCGTAGAATATAATTGTAATGATAAATTGTTTGATAACAGTTCGGGCGTTTGAACACGTGTGAAATGTATCGTCGTTCATAATAAAGGTATAGCTCACCGCAAGCATTTGAAATATTATATCTAGATGTATTTTCGTACGTAGAAACAGTGGTAAGAGGTAATGGAATGTCAGACGGAAGATTAATTGACGACGCGGTTGAAATGTGGAACGCTTTCGTTTCGTATGCAATCGTATATTACTCGAATAATCGTATTCTATGAACGAAGTGTACTAATTAATAGTTCGCTATTAGTTCACTGTTCAAATTGAATACTACGTACCTATTCTCATTAAAATGTTCCACATTGCCATTGATGACGACTATAAAATTAGACGAGTTAAGTTCAGACGAATCACTCTGCATACGATTAATGTACACGGTGTTCTAAGGATGATCGAGAAGTATTTCTACAAGAACAAATACAGTAAATTCTTTCTCATTGACGCTCAGATTATCCACAAAAATGCACAATTTGGCTCGCTTTTATAGTTGTTCACAGTCGGTAACTATAAAAAGCGAGCCGCGAGGCTCGAATAATCGTAGCTCCTCCTCCCAAATTGTTCATTTTTGTGCACAATCTGAGCGTCAATTAGGGAGAATTCACTGTAAATCGAAAATGTGGAATAGAATTTTTTTCATCCGAAGCTTGATTTTCGAGCAAAGGGAGTTGATTTTCGAGTATGTAGAAGAATCAAATTAGACGAATTAAGTTCAGACGAATCACTCTGCATACGATTACTGTACACGGTGTTCTACGGATGATCGAGAAGTATTCTGCAGGAACAAATACGGTAAATTCTCTCTCATTGACGCTCAGATTGTGCAGAAAAATGGACAATTTGGCTCGTTTTTATAGTTGTTTACAGTCGGTAATTATAAAAAACGAGCCGCGAGGCTCGAATAATCGTATCTTCTCCTCCCAAATTGTCCATTTTTGTGTAAAATCTGAGCGCCAATTAGGGAGAATTCACTGTAAATCGAAAATGTGGAATAGAATTTTTTCATCCGAAGCTTGATTTTCGAGAAAAGTGAGTTGATTTTCGAGTATGTAGAGGTAGTATTGGTGAATCATGAACAGACACGACACTAGATTCTCTTTCTCTTTATTTCTCTCTCTCTCTTTCTTTCTCTCTCTCTCTCTCTCTCTCTCTCTCTCTCTCTCTCTCTCTGTCTCAGGTCTCTGTTGTCTCTCAAGTACGAACCTTTATGCAAAATAAGAATTTACTATATCAATTACAAAACAATACATGACATAAACATTGATTTCTTCCCTCGAAAATGATGTAGGTAATTATCAATTGTTGTGACATTCTCCATTTCACCTACCCATTTGTGTCAGAAGCGCGTAATTTCCACAGCCAAGTAATATTGTTCGAACAATGACGTAATCGGTGCTATCTCCCCCGGTATCAATCTATCTATCCCCGTATCAAACTATGTATCTCCCCCTTTATTAAATACCGTTCTAATCCGACTCTGTATTGTCGCAAACCTTCCAACGAAACTGGTGTCGCTATAATTGTCCGGCTACTTTCTTCACGTGTGTTTGCTTTCTAACAGGTTTGCCCGAGCAGAAATCAATGTTGGCGGCGTTATAAATTTCTGTTAATGTGCACGATAGTTGGAGCTATGATTCAATATACCGAATTCGAACCAGCTGGCCGGGCACACGCGTCAAGGTAGATAACTTGGCACCGTTCACTTATTTATTTGTTTAGCCGCGGTTCAATAACCGTGCCAACTACTAAGCTCTTTGCCGGAAAGTACCCGTGGCAGGGGTACACTGGTGTGCCGGTTGCAGAATGACGATTGTGAAACATCGTGCCGCGGTTTACAGCGGGTTCGAGCTCTCGAGTCTACGCGCGGACCATTGTCTCTCGCGCAACACGTTACACGTACGAACAAATTGTTTACACGAAAGTTTTGCGCGGCCCAGAAAATTTGTCGCTTATCCGATATTCGTTCGAGAGACGCGGTCGGAGTTGGGTTAAATTTCATTTGAAATATTAAATAAGAAGTTACTCGATTAAATACTAAATACTTATAAGTTACCAAATAAATTCTTTATTTAATTAAAAAGAAAACAAAATCATTTAAATAATCCCATAGAAGACTCCATTATTTCTTATTTGCAAACGAAACATTGTTTTTTCATTTTTATTCGGATTTTCGGGGAAGGTGAATAAGAAATAATTTTATTTGTTATTTTTATATTTTCTATATGAATATAGCAAGTAAGATATCATTTCTCGATTGGAATTTAGACGGTGAGCAAATAATAAATGAAACGATAAGTTCTTCGCGAACTAAACGATATTTGGTTGGAACAGTTGACGCGGTTGGCATCGATTTTTTAATGCGTTTGTACACTTCGAGCAGACGTTTTCTTTTTGCCACGTCAATCGATCGATCGACCCGTCGGCTATGTCAACATCGGTGAAAACAGCTGATCGACGCGCGACGCGTCGAACCGTGGCAGAGCGTTTTTCGAAATCGTCGTAACGACCGCGTCGTTTTGTTGCCGCCGGTATCGGAAATAGTTGATCGCGTCGAGACGGAAGAACTACTACATCCAGTTTCGAGCATCGATTTACGGACGATGCCGGATCGTTTTGACAACTCGTATGTAACAGTTGTGACTATCTCGCCGTGGCGCGGGGCCATTTGTCGATCGATCAATGGAGCACACCGTTCGCAAGGCGAAGCGCGCTAGATAATGGACAATGTAAACGACTACGCACCGATCGTTTCGCGAACTGACACAGCAGATTATCCGAGGCACATACTTGGATCTATTTATGTATTCATTATTCATGTCGCTTCGTATCGACGTCAACCGATCAGTCAAACGAAATGGTAAAGCCCGAGCACAAAGGGTTTTACCGAGAGCCCGCGGATCTAGCCCGCGAAGGGGATGCAGACGGAAAACAAATGCTACGCTCGACAAAGAATATTCGATCGGACATCGTAAAACGTCTTTAAGAAAAATTACGGATCTCCATATTCGATGCAGGGTGTCTGACCTGGTGCTGTAACTTGGAACGCGTTGCGAATTTACATTGTAAAGAGGGACGAAAATGCGGGATGATAGATGGCGGATTTCATGCATTTATGACACGTACGAGTAGATGCAATTCGAAGCGGATTAAAAGGACTTCGATCCTTCGAGTGTTATGGATGCGTACATGCGTCCTGCTAAAGTTAACCCTTTGCACTCGAGTGGCGACTCGGACGCACCGCTAAAATTGTTACACCACGTTTCAAGATAAGTTTTACACGATCGAAGCTTAGATATAAAAAGATTGTTAAAAGTTTAACTATTGTACGAGTCACAAGACTCAATTTCATATGCATAAAATGGACTTGATCGTATAAAATGGAAATACTATAAGTCGGAAAAGTTAATTTAGATTTACGGTTAAAATGGCTTCGAGTGCAAAGGGTTAACAATGTGAGATACGGACGCATGTACGCGTTCGTCAATTTTTGCTTACCTTTAGCGTGATGATATCGCAATTAATTTTAAACAAGACGATCGATCGATCGCGCAATTATTTTGCTTATTCAGCTGATAAAACTACTTATCCGTTGCTTTACAGTTTCGACGCATTACCATAACAGTGAATAAAAAAGCACTGGCTAATATTGAAATCCCCGAAATAACATCACTGACGGAGGCAACTGAAACGATGTCGTCTTCTCTTGGTGTTCAGAAATTTATCTTCATCGGATCACCGTTTCTTTAAATTATTACATCACTTAATATAGACGTATAATTTACATGCACAAATTGTCGCAGAGATGACACGAAGTCGTTAATAATAATAATGGTAAACATTTAGATGATAAAACTTGTATAATTATTTATCATTACATTTAATATAATTCTGTTGACGTATCGCACTTCGATTTCATCCACAGCTAAGTTCATTGGCACTTTTTCGTATCCATTTACTTTCAATCCTAGACTAGATTTAGAAGAAATAAATAAATAATTATATTATATTCATATTATATATATTATAATATTAATTTATTTTTTTAAATATTATATTTATTATATATATATATATTTATATATTTAATATTATATTATTATTGTATACTTATCTTTCAATTTACACAGAAAGTCTTAAAGTGAAAAATTAATTTTCTCTTTCGTTCTTTTATATTCGTTAATTATCTTAAACGATTTTCAATTTGCATAAATATCTGCCGTTCAGTTATTATATTAATAAGAACACAACGAAGAGAGCTTTCCTAATGTAAAAGCACGTACAAGCGGCCGTCGATGCTGCGATAAGAAATCACGGACGCCAGTTGGTTGCAGGGGTGGCGCATAAGTATCTTATCGAACATTCGAATCGAAGCTGCGGGACGAATTATCATCGAGTTTGCCGACTCCGAAACAGCAGTCGACAGATCAATCTGCCCGACCTCGAATTCCTCTTCGGCATTCCCCGGACCATCTACAACGGGCATCGCCTTCAAATTTCATTCGTCGACTCTGAATCGCGTTTCAAGTGTCATTACTGTCGCATCAATAAAAATTTAAAGCGTCGCCGGTCGCTTCGTGATTCCAGACACAGGATCCGTTCAACGGAGAACATTTCGGCGAATCGCGGACGGTCCCGCGAGAATTTTCACCGCGTGACGCATCATTCGTTAGTTTATCCATTTAAGCGCCATATACAGTAAATTCTCCCTAATTGACGCTCAGCTTCGAAACGAAAATAGGCAGTTTGAGAAGAGGAGATACGATTATCCGAGGCTCGCGGCTCGATTTTGTAGTTACCGATTGTTAACAACTGCAAAAACGAGTCGCGAGGCTCGAACAATCGTATCTTCTCTTTCAAAATTATCCATTTTTGTGGACAATCTGAGACATTACTGTATTGGGTTGTGAAAATGATTCAATCTTTTAACGCTTCCAAGCTTTGCGCTACGATTTCTTTCAGAGCTACGTCGATTAGCGCTTCTTTCTTACTAATGAATTCTTAGACGAGGAAGAAGAGTTATATTTAACATTTAAAAATTTTCTTTTTGTTTAACCCGAGAAAGATAACCTACGTCGCAGAGGCGCCTGCGAAGACTGTTGATTTTTGTTAATTTTTCATAGAGGTCTAGTGATTTAAGTTTAAAATTACTTAAAATATAAAAAAATATAATATAAATGCATTTTATTTTTACAATAATGCCAAACCTTTAAAATGACTAGATTAACTTAAATAAATATCCATTGTTAGTATAAAATTGACGCCTTAGAAAAGCATGCGCCTCTGAAGCGTATGGTTATCTTTTACGTACGTTGTCATATGGTTATCTTTCTAGGGTTAAAGGAAATGCGTAACATCTGTATCTAGTAAATTTGAGCGAATCCTTCATAACGTGTCTAACACACGTTGTTAGAGTGCTGGGTTAGCTTTTGCACCCGCGTTCTAAATTGTTACTTGAATGGATTCGTGCATTGTATCATTCTACAGCACTCGGTTCATACTATTGATTTGTACAAGTGGTTTTTATTTTCATTGTTCCGTGATGTCCACTTGACACCATTGGAGTAAAGATATATGAAGATACATACACACAGGGTGTTCCATTTTAATCACTGCACGCGATTATTTCTAGAACTATTTGTTATTCGATGTGACCAACGAGAGGCGAGATCAGCTGGCGCGAGGCGGCCGAGCTCGTTGCTCATTGGTCAGTGTTTTTCGTTGATAGCTCGAAAACATAGCCGCGGATCGCATTTACGCTAAGGAAAAAGTTACTTCGAATGATCTCGAGAATCCCTTGTTTACCGATTTCGAGTGACTTTTGGGACACCCTGTATATGTTCTTGCCATCTTACAACCAATTAACATATCTCCTGCTAAAAGAAAGGTAGAGTTTCGATGTAACGAAATCATCAATGCTCGTTCAGCTATCAAGGATTTCAAAGTCCACAATGCTGATAAAACGGTGTTGAAAACAATGATGCGGATGATTCAAGGGAGATAATGATCTGACAAGTAAGATTCAAACGAGACCTATTTTCAAGGATATTTCCAACTGTATGACTTTCTTATTTACGTTTGCCTAATATGGCCACGCGTTATCTTGTAACAATAATATCGCCTGACGCGTCCTCTGAATGTTTTCTATTTCATGCAAATGATCGAAAATTGTTTGGCAAGTTTATCGCGTGTTTAACGATAGTTCATTTTCGTAATAATTCGTCAGATTCGCTCTTGGACGTATAAATAAAAAATAGATGAAAAATAACCTTGCACCACGTTTTTATAATTGTTGACAATCGTCAACTATAGAAATAAGCCGCGAGACTCGAATAATCGGAGCTTCTCTTCCCAGATTGTCTATTTTTGTTTGTAAGCCGAAGTAAAATTAGGGAGAATTTACTTTATACAAAGATTCTTTCATTTTAAGGTGTATCGCTTCCAAAGTCCAATATGGCAAATAAGAAATATTATTTTAAGATAATGAACCACAAAGTAATTGATAACATTAATCAATCTGGAAATTATGCCACTTTATTCTTGGGGTTCCGGTTTTACCATGCTTCGCCCTACCGATGTATTTAACCGTTTGAGACCCAAGCGGCGCGATCGAGCTGTTCAGATCTTGTGTCGCGATCGAACTTTAGTGACGCACGTACATCGCATAGCTGCTTTTCTTCATTTTTTTTCTTTTTGCTTTGTTTGTCAATCTTGACGAGCGCAATCGCGCCGCTTGATTCTCTTCGCAATCAATTAAGACAAACGCTATTACACTGTTCGCCACTTTTCGACTGTGTTTTCTGAATAACCCCTGGGGCTCAAACGGTTAAGGTGTACCATATTTCCAATGTGGCAAATAAGAGATATTACTTTAAGATAATGAATCACAAATTAATTTATAACATTAAACAATCTGGAAATTATGCCACTTTATTCTTGGGGTTCCGGTTTTACCACGCTTCGCCGTACCGACGTATTTAAGGAAAGTGGGCCATCTCATTGCCAGACTCGTCCTATTATATTTGTTCTTATTATTTCCAATGATATTTGCCGAGGGCGACTAGAACTTAAGACGCGGACCACGTTGGATTCGCGAAATTCAGTCGCGAGGAACCCGATCGGCAGAATCGGCTGCGGGAAAGGTGGATCGCGAACAAAAGCGAAGGAATAGTGGAGAACGGAGAACACAGTAGGCGCACGGTAAATTATCGCATTCAGGCTAAATAGTAACGAGGGATCCGGCGCTCGCGATTCTTTCATGTGCGTGCAAGAAGACCTTTGTTTCACGCGGACAAAGGTGGCCGCGTTCACGTGCAAGCGATGCATCGCGCGGTGTGAACGCCTGCGGCCCTTCGTCTTGACGAGCAGTCATTGAAACGGTGCAAAATGATCCGGACGCTGTTGGAAGATAATGCTCGTGAACAAAAAAACAAACAGAAAAGAAAAAGAAAAAAGAGAACCAGAGAGGGAACACGGCGCGAAAACAACTCCGCTCGCTCGAAAAGAAGTTTCTAATTTGATTGAATGCTATCTGGCGCGGTGTAATGAGACGTTCGTACGGACCTCGTTTCATTTTTCCACTTCACCCTCGTGTGCCAGTCCTAAACATTCACCTATTTTCAATTTTATATACCGTACACTTTCATCTTTGAGTCGTCGACAAGTGGCGTAAATTCAAAATTGCGATGGATTTTTTTGCAGAAATAATGAGTGTTAAAGATGCTTGTTTTATTTAACACGTCGACTTTCGTATACCTTGTTTAACGGTATCGCAAACGAAGCGACCGTAAAAATATCTTGAATAGTGGCGTTCGTAATTCATGTTTTTACATTAATTTCTAGAACTATTTATTTCATTAAATTTTAGATGTTACTTTAGCGCATTTTAATTCGCGCCAAACATGCGAAAGTGTTTCAATTTTGCTATTCATCCGAAATTATATTTATTGAAGTGTACTATGTATCTCATTAAACATATTCATCTGATCAATCGACTAATACGACCGCAATATGTTCTTCGATTTTTAAGCATGCATTGCAAGTCATTTATTTACGAATTGAAGAGAATATTCTGTTTATATATCCACTGGTTAATATAAATGAATATTCTTACCGAAGTATATGGTGCACTGCACGAAATGTAGTTATTTGCAACAGCTGTACCTACACGTCACGAAATTACATTTCTAACGAATTTAAAACCAGTTGTAATATTATAATATAATATATTCTGTCGGACTTTCGAATTCCGCTTACCAAATATGTATCACACGTGTCGATTCAAAAGCCACAGACACGTGTCGCAGGTTCTACCACTAATTCTTCGCTCTACAGAATTTCTACAAGTAATATAAATTTCGCGAGTTATCAAACTTCTGTCTGTCACCGTACGTTCCACTATGCAAAATTAAAGTTCGCGTGATTGCGATTATCGATTCGATCGCCAGAAGCAGAGTGGGCCTTCTTACACGTGGCAAATCAAACGCGAAACTACTTTCCTACGAATAAAAAAAAAGAAAGACCGAACGGGAATATAAATCGCCACACAGCCGAAGTATGCATTCCAAACGTTCAACTTCTCGATCCTTTCGTGGACAGCACAGGTGCCGAAGATTTTCTTTGAAAAAGTCTCTGCTCGCGGAAGCTTCGTCCTCTACAAATAGCTTGAAAAAAAAGAAAACAGTGTACACACTTTTACCGAATTGGGCGACGTTGAAAGAGAATAAAGAATTGTCACCAGTCGTCGCTCGCTAGCTTCAAAATTAGTTTTCTTTCAAATTTAACGCTTGTAAATAATCTTTAGTTATTTAAAGTTAAACGCTGCGAATAAAATGTAAAACGATTCGTTCGTGTTGGCATTATACGAAAGTTGTTTATTGAATTTATTCGATTTAGGAACTTTCTCCTTATAATTTTTTTTATTAAAAAAGACGTTTACACTTTTTTTCAGAAAAGATTATTAGAGACACATTTTTTTCACTACTACGTACGACTACTTAACGCTTTTACTTCATTTTACTTCATGTTCGATTTTTAAGAAAATTACAGACATTATTGGTGTGACAAATTTTGTCTTTCCTTAATTATTGTAGCGATCTTTTTCGTCAATTCTCATTTTCATTTGTCATTTTACAAAAATCGGAATTAAAAACAGTTGCTTTTATCGACTAAAAGAAATTGCATAAAGAAAATGAAAACGTTATTAGAGCTTGTGGATTTACGTAACTTTTTGATTTTAAAAATTTGCACATGCCATAAATGCATAAAGCAGTCTCATTTATTATTGATAAATGATCAAAAAAAAAAAATATCTGATTTTTTATATAATACAACTCTTATGAGATCGATGCGAGTCATCTATCCAGCAAACCTAAAATATTCCATATCACCGGGCAATTTATCAAATGAAGTAAAAATCGAGAAGCCGACGCTTCGCGCTCAAAGCCATTTCAACCCTAAATCGAAAACAGTTTCTTCCGACCTATAGTATTTTGCATTTTACGCACACGAAATTGAGTCTCGTGGCTCGTGCAACGGTAACACTGTTCAACCAAAACATCAATTCCTAATAGTACTTCAAAGTCACCAGCGTCGAGTGCAAAAGGTTAACCCTTTGGTGATTCTGACTCTGAGGCACCACTAAAATTGTTACATCACGTTCCAAGATAATATTTATATTACCGAAGCTTTGATATAAAAAGATTGTTAAAAGTCTAATTGTTGTATGAGTCACAAGACTCGATTTCATATGCATGAAATGCACTTTATAGTATAAAATGAAAATATTATAATATATTATAATTATATAGGTTATATATAATTATATAGGTCAGAAAAGTTAATTTAGATTTACAGTTGAAATGGCTTCGAGTGCAAAGGGTTAATAAGTGCAAACTTCTTGCATTTCGAGCGTCCTGTCCTGTGTTTCATCGAACGCGTTAAAATCCGCAAAAATTCGTTTTGAAATTTGAACGTATCAACGAATCTGTTCAAACATCTGCTAGCACGCTTCTTCCACAGGTACAGTAATGTCTCTCTGATTGACGCTCAGATTGTCGACAAAAATGGACAATTTTGGAAGAGGAGATACGATTGTTCGAGCCTTGCGGCTCGTTTTTTAATGGTTATGGATTGTCAACAACTATAAAAACGAGCCGCAAGGCTCCGATAATCGTATCTCCTCTTCCCAAATTGTCCATTTTTCTGCACAATCTGAGCGTCAGTTAGGGAAACATTACTGTACTTTTTGATACGAGAACGCTTTCGTAGAAAACGGTACAAAAATTGCCTAATCTATTGAAAACATTTGCGCATAATTTAGTCCAAACTTAATACTATTAATTACGAAAGATCCGTAACAGATTTATCGTTTTGTTTCTATCGAAATTTCGAAAATCCTGGGAAATGAACGTTCGAATTTCGCAGTAAAAATTGTGCAATTCATCGACTGCAATTAATTTTTCTTCACAATCCGAGCGTCGATTAGAGAGACATTACTGTATCTAGCCTAATTCGCGTTGTAAAACAATCGAAAGATCTATCTGCGCATAATTTAGTCCAAACTTAATACTATTAATTACGAAAGATCCGTAACAGATTTATCGTTTTGTTTCTATCGAAATTTCGAATTTCCTGGGAAATGAACGTTCGAATTTCGCAGTAAAAATTGTGCAATTCATCGACTGCAATTAATTTTTCTTCACAATCCGAGCGTCGATTAGAGAGACATTACTGTATCTAGCCTAATTCGCGTTGTAAAACAATCGAAAGATCTATCTGCGCATAATTTAGTCCAAACTTAATGCTATTAATTACGAAAGATCCGTAACAGATTTATCGTTTTGTTTCTATCGAAATTTCGAATTTCCTGGGAAATGAACGTTCGAATTTCGCAGTAAAAATTGTGCAATTCATCGACTGCAATTAATTTGTCTTCACAATCCGAGCGTCGATTAGAGAGACATTACTGTATCTAGCCTAATTCGCGCTGTAAAACAATCGAGAGACGCGATCGCTTCGATCGATTCCCATTTTCCATTCCAATTTCAGGACCCACGCGTCCGATAAAAGTGTTTCTGCACGCGGCCTCGTCGTCGACAATGGGACATTTCCGATGTCGGAGACATTGTCGCTGGCGACGCGTGTTGTCGTTATGCACGAGCAATCGCGCAATTTAATTGGCGACCCTCGGTTTCGCTGGAAGCGGCGCGAAAGTAATATCATTACCCGGAAACCTTTAAGGCGACCCGAACGGAGTGCGAGAGGGGGCACGAGAGCGTCGTCGTCGTCGTCGTCGCGCACCAACAATCCCAATAATTGCACGTGACAGAGGAACGCGTTGCGCGCGAGATAATTAATCGGCCGATTAATTAAGCCGGCAAAAGCCGACCCACCGGTGCCGGCGATTCTTTTGACGGAACGGACTCTTACCACCGGCACGTACGTATACGGCTGTGCGCCGGTTTCCGTCGTGCATCACCCTGACCGTCTCCGTCGTGTTGTTTGTTGCCGGTAAATACACAACGCTTGATTAATATCAGGGTCACTCTCCATTTTCGGAATTTTACACGCTAACGCGCGCGCGGCCCGAGTGTACTCCATACGTGTAGAACATGCGTGAGTTATGCGCGGAGATCCATTTTATAAGCGCGGCGCAAGGATATCGAAAGCGCGTTTATCCGATTTTCGATCGTCGAATCAACGCCGCGATCTGCATTTATTATATTTAATTGCTATATTTAATTTACGAGTGTAGCTTTCCGACTGGTTCACCTGTTGAATATCTTATTCTCTTCGCTCCGAAGCGGTTCGATCGTTTGCGACGTCTAGACGGAGGATCTTTATGCAAATTCGAATGTTTGCGCAACATTCGCGGGGAAAAGGAGCTAAGGAGAAACTCGCTCCTTTCGCTGGTAATTCGAATGATTTTGAGAATAGAATAATGTCTCCCTAACTGACGCTCGGATTGTGCACAAAAATGGACAATTTGGAAAGAGGAGATACGATTATTCGAGCCTTGCAGCTCGTTTTTATTGTTGTTGACAATTTGTAACTATAAAAATAAACCGCATGGATCGGATGATCATATCTTCTATTCCTAAATTGTCCATTTTTGTGGACAATCTGAGCGTCAATTAGAGAAACATTACTGTAACGTGTCCATATTTTTACGATCTCCTTGCGTTTCCAACGTTTCGCGTTTGCTCAATTTATATTTATGGCAAACTGTTACACAGTTTTATTTGGTCAAATTGTCTTATGATGTACAATATAACCCTTTGCACTCCGTGCCATCACGGACGTTACCTACTAGTTACTCGACACTATTTTGTCGCGAAAACAAAAAAACCTTTATATTATGTAGTATACCTTTGGAACCAAGCGAGATATTGCAATCATATTCGATTTCTATGAATTTGTAGACATCGAGGAACATATATTTGCAAAAAAGAATCAACATTTTATTTCTTATAATTTTGTACAGTATGATAAATTTTAAAGCATTCCAATACAATAAACTTGAATGTCCCCTCACAGGGGTCATCCGTGTGATATGCTAGAATTACGATGTTCCCTGAGAGGGGACAACGGAGTGCAAAGGGATAATTATGATGGTAGCAATTATAATGTATACGTTTCAAATGATGGGTGTTTCATTATATTCGGTCGTATAACTTTTGTGATTATGGGAACGTTTAGATGGATTTTTTGTTTTAAACTTTCACAGAACATCGCATTTTCAAAACGTTCACGAAACATCGCGTTTTTGAAACATTCATAAAACGTCGTGTCTTCAAGACCGACAATTCGAAAGTCCTGACTTTTAAAAAAATTCCAGAACTTCTGTAGCTTTTTAAGGTGACGTTTCGAATCCCGACCTAGAAGGTTAGAAAAGTAATATTTTTAAAAATCTACCAACGCGCAATACAGATTTGTGAAAAGGTAGCAACAAAAACGTTGCCTAGATTTTTAGATTTAAGCTGTTAGAAACAGTGTTAAGAGATCCTTTCATCCTGTCTAAGTTTACACATTTTCATCGTTCAGATTTACAACCAAATAATCGTTATATCATTAAACGATCGTTTATCACCAAATATCGTACGAATATTTAGAAGACTATCACGGAACTCGTATTATTCCGATAGAATTAAAGTGTACACGACGTTCGCATCTTCGAAGAACATACTAAAACTCGGGCAGCGGGATCAGGGTCTCCTTTGACCCGCATTAAAATTAACCGTTTGGCTGCTGACGTATTTTTTCGGACATATGCCAAAACTGCGGCACTAATTGCGCGTGTATGGGGAAAAAATGTAAAACACTTTTCATGCAATAAACTCACTTGTATCGCTTTGCAACAAGAAAAATTATTTATTTACATAAATTTGTTTTAATTAATTTTGTGAATAAAATTGTTAATAAGCACAAATTCTAATGATTTAGAGCAGCGTTATTACGCTCTCCGCAGTCTTGGCATAAAAAAAACAGGAGCACTATCGCGCTCTTCGCATTTTTGGCACAACCCATATCCGGTAAAAGAACCTCGAAAGCTCCAAAAAAAAGCCAAATAAATTCGCAAACGTTCCCAACAAGCACGCTCAGTCACGTTGTCGTAAAAAATGATTAAAATCGCGGTCAGAATATAAATAAATGCAGGAAACCACAGATTTCTACGTTACTATTTCGTTCGGAATTTTTAAGCCCAGACCGGAACGCCTGGCCAAAATCAGCTTCGTGGCAGAAAATTCTAGGCCGCGATAACAACCATAACTCCGCGGAAGGTCCGCTTACCCGGGATGATGCCTCGTGTAGGTCGGCGGCGTGGTCGCGGCGTGTTGGAACCTCTGAGTGGCAGCTTCCCTCGGCTGGTGGCGATGATTATTGTGGTAAACGATCGCTGCGGTGCCGGTATACTTGGCGACGTTGGCCGGGCTCGATTTCTCGAGTTTCGGCGGGCCGGGTCGTTGCTCGTGGGCCCGATGCTCCACGCGACGCCTCGGCTGCTCGTTGGTTCCCGTCGGCGGCGGCACCGAAACGGGCCTGTCGGTGGCCGTGTCCAGGTGCGACCATGTTTTCGCGGTGCTCTGTTGAAAATCGCCGCCGCCGCCGTCGTCGCGGTCGTGTCGCGCGCGAGCGAATTTCTCGTGGTACCAAATCGGCCAGAGCAGTCTGTGGTCCGTGTAGGCCCGTTGATCGCTGGGATAGCGCTCGAGCGGCGCGACGTCCACGGGCAGAACGATCAACGCGACGCACGTCAGCCAAACGTTCGGTATCGGAGCCATGGTCGAACGACGTTCGATGAGCTTTTTCGTCGAGCCTCGGTCGGGAAGAGCCGCACACGCGTCAAGACGAACCCGGCCGCATCCTCGATCGTTTTTGACGGGAACGTGGGAACGTTTGTACGCTGCGGGCCGAGCTGCGCTGAATGCGTCGACGAGGCTCGATGGACATCCGGTGTGCGAAATCGTTCGAAGGCAACCGAGAGCACTACTGAACGAGACACACGGAGTAGGCCCCACGTGCTTGAACCGCTCGTACCAACCCCACCATGCCTCTATCTTTCTCTCTTTCTCCCCGTTTTCTCGTTCTGCTCCTCGTCCACCGACGACGTCCTCGTCTTGTTCCTCTTGCCCGAGCCCCGACAACGCGTCTCTCTCCTTTCGGCCAGCACACGCTCATTCTCTTTCTACCTGTCTGCTCTCCTGATACCTCGCCGCCTGCTTGGCTAACCACCTACATATCCTGCAAGCGTTCGACAAGAAGGTAGAAGAAGGAGGCAGAGACGGCGCTCGTTCCGCGGGGTCGATGGTAGCATGCGGCGAACCCATTCCTGTGTGTGGACGCCGAATGTTCTTTTGTCTAGCCACGGTAGAAACCCAGGCTGAACTGGACACGTTTCAAGTGACATTGTTCGAAGGATTATTTCAAATAACACATGTATATGTGTGTGTGTGTGTGTGTGTGTGTGTGTTTAGGCGAGAGCTGCTATCTATGGAACGCTTTTCAGAGGGTGTGGATTACCACAGGATTTCATTAGAACCTAAAAGCGTTGAATATTTACTGAATATTTATTCTGCTGTCTATTTTATTTATTTATTTATTGACATAGGAATCAGAAAAAAGTACGAGCGTGTATCTATTATGGAACACCGTTTTCGAATTGAATAAAATTCATGTAGTTCGAAAGTGTCTTTTTTTTGTTATATTTATTGTAAATCAATGATTCTAATTTTATGAAATTTTTGAGATCGTTGAATCGGTGCTCGCACGTTAAACATCCTAAGGTAACAAACTACAGTAATTGTCCACAGAAATAGACAATTTGGGAAGAGGAGATATGATTATTCGAGCCTTGCGACTCGTTTTTTATAATTGTTGGCAATCAGCAACTATAAAAAGGAGCCACGAAGCTCGAATAATCGTATCTCCTCTTCCCAAATTGTCCATTTCTGTGGACAATCCGAGCGTCAATTAGAGAGACATTACTGTACTCTGCTGTTTTAGTGTCTCGATATTTCTCCAGGTACATACAGAATATTGTACGAGTCAGTATTGCATTCTCCAGATAATACTACAGTAATGTCTCCCTAACTGACGCTCAGATTATGCACAAAACTGGACAATTTAGGAACTGAAGATACGATTACTTGAGCCTTGCGGTTTGTTTTTATAGCTACGAATTGTCAACAATTATAAAACCGAGCCGCAAGGCTCGAATAATCGTATCTCCTCTTTCCAAATTGTCCATTTTTGTGCAGAATCTGAGAGATGTGTATAAGAGACAGGAGTACAGTAATGTCTCTCTAATTGACGCTCGGATTGTCCACAGAAATGGACAATTTGGGAAGAGGAGATATGATTATTCGAGCCTTGCGACTCGTTTTTTATAATTGTTGGCAATCAGCAACTATAAAAAGGAGCCACGAAGCTCGAATAATCGTATCTCCTCTTTCCAAATTGTCCATTTTTGTGCAGAATCTGAGAGATGTGTATAAGAGACAGGAGTACAGTAATGTCTCTCTAATTGACGCTCGGATTGTCCACAGAAATGGACAATTTGGGAAGAGGAGATATGATTATTCGAGCCTTGCGACTCGTTTTTTATAATTGTTGGCAATCAGCAACTATAAAAAGGAGCCACGAAGCTCGAATAATCGTATCTCCTCTTTCCAAATTGTCCATTTTTGTGCAGAATCTGAGAGATGTGTATAAGAGACAGGAGTACAGTAATGTCTCTCTAATTGACGCTCGGATTGTCCACAGAAATGGACAATTTGGGAAGAGGAGATATGATTATTCGAGCCTTGCGACTCGTTTTTTATAATTGTTGGCAATCAGCAACTATAAAAAGGAGCCACGAAGCTCGAATAATCGTATCTCCTCTTTCCAAATTGTCCATTTTTGTGCAGAATCTGAGAGATGTGTATAAGAGACAGGAGTACAGTAATGTCTCTCTAATTGACGCTCGGATTGTCCACAGAAATGGACAATTTGGGAAGAGGAGATATGATTATTCGAGCCTTGCGACTCGTTTTTTATAATTGTTGGCAATCAGCAACTATAAAAAGGAGCCACGAAGCTCGAATAATCGTATCTCCTCTTTCCAAATTGTCCATTTTTGTGCAGAATCTGAGAGATGTGTATAAGAGACAGGAGTACAGTAATGTCTCTCTAATTGACGCTCGGATTGTCCACAGAAATGGACAATTTGGGAAGAGGAGATATGATTATTCGAGCCTTGCGACTCGTTTTTTATAATTGTTGGCAATCAGCAACTATAAAAAGGAGCCACGAAGCTCGAATAATCGTATCTCCTCTTTCCAAATTGTCCATTTTTGTGCAGAATCTGAGAGATGTGTATAAGAGACAGGAGTACAGTAATGTCTCTCTAATTGACGCTCGGATTGTCCACAGAAATGGACAATTTGGGAAGAGGAGATATGATTATTCGAGCCTTGCGACTCGTTTTTTATAATTGTTGGCAATCAGCAACTATAAAAAGGAGCCACGAAGCTCGAATAATCGTATCTCCTCTTTCCAAATTGTCCATTTTTGTGCAGAATCTGAGAGATGTGTATAAGAGACAGTATCTCCTCTTCCCAAATTGTCTATTTCAGATGTGTATAAGAGACAGTATCTCCTCTTCCCAAATTGTCCATTTTTGCGCACAATCTGAGCGTCAGTTAAAAGGAGACATTACTGTATTTCGTTCAGCAAGTTCTTAAGAGCACGCGGCGATTTCCTAGATTAAGTTATTATACAGTGTACGCAGAAGCAGGTAGCGAAGTCCAACAGGTTAAAAAAAATCGTAGGAACTTGAACGACAATGCGCGATTATACGCGACATTAAATCAAAGGTAATTACGAGCCCCGCCGTTGGCATTGTCTCCTCGCGTGCGTACATTATCAGGCATCTATTTCATTGCCGCGGCGTAATTGTGCGTGTAAACGTGGCAATGGGCGCACACCGAGACCACACGGCCGGCTCTACTTTCAGTCCCTTTATTATCCGGGTGCGAAATCGATCGACTGAAATTCCAATTGCAGCAAGCCGCACCGCGATGACTTTCCTTTGCCCCATAATTTCTAACCGGCACAGGACTCGGGGAACGCATGACTCACTTCTGCATTCGTCTCTCGGAGCCACGACACCTTCTCGAGTATCTAGACCCAAGGTTCTCTTCGGCGTCCTTCGATAGGCAAATTCTTACGAGATCTCGGAGACCACCGTACGTAGCAGCGTTTTTTTTCCGATTAGATTTTCTTTTCTTTCTTAAAATGTCGAACACGGATAATCGTCCGACGATGCGACCTAACGAATACAGTAATGTCTCCCTAATTGACGCTCAGATTCTGCACAAAAATGGACAATTTGGGAAGAGGAGACACGATTGTTCGAGCCTTGCAGCTGGTTTTTTGTAGTTGTTGACAATTCGTGACTATAAAAACGAGCCGCAAGGCTCGAATAATCGTATCTCCTCTTCCAAAATTGTTCATTTTTGTGGACAATCTGTGCGTCAATTAGAGAGACATTACTGTACTCACAGCGAGCACGAAAAGTTATAGCAATGTTTCTCTAATTAACGCCCAGATTGACCACAAAAATGGACAATTTGGGAAGAGGAGATACGATTACTCGAGCTTTGTGGCACCTTTTTATAGTTGCTGATTGCCAACAATTATTAAAAACGAGTCGCAAGGCTCGAATAAACGTATCTCCTCTTCCCAAATGATTATCTATTTCTGTGGACAATCTGAGCGTCAATTAGAGAGACATTACTGTATTCACAGCGAGCACGGAAAATTACAGCAATGTCTCTCTAATTGACGCCCAGATTGCGCACACAAATGGACAATTTGGGAAGAGGAGATACGATTATTCGAGCCTTGCGGTTTATTTTTATAGTTATAAATTGTCCACAATTATAAAAACGAGCCGCAAGGCTCGAATAATCGTACCTCCTCTTCCCAAATTATCCAATTTAGTGGACAATCTGAGCGTCAGTAAGGGAGACATTACTGTATTCGGACGTCATTTGGAACGCGATCGCTTTTTTCCAAATCGCAGAGAATTGGATACGGATTTTTCAAATCTGATTAAGATATCCTCGTAAAAAGAGATTCGTTTATCGTCGAAAAGATTAGCTGGCAAAATAGTTTGCACACGATTCGAAACAGCCGAAAAAATGCTATCGAAATGCATGTTTTCGAAATTTAATCTGGTTAATTATTGGCAGTTGATTTTTGCTCGAACGTTCTCCCTCGGGAACTCGATAAAAATCAGGTTAAAGTCGTGACCTTATTATTCGAGTTTCTTGTAAAGGAAACTTTGCAGTCGTTAAGGGAAGTTCGACGAATACAGGCAAGCGGATCGTTTACTCTTCCATCTTCCGCACCCTGAATTGAAATCGGAGTTTTGTTTCATCGATCAAACTTTTCTCGCGAACTCGATTGAGATTAGCCTGCTGCATTGTAAGTCGGCTGCTCTTTCAACGAAATCGAATCGAGGCATTAGAGATAAAATGTTTGGAATTGTCCGTGATTCGCGATCATCCTTGGAGAATCGTCGGTGCCGACCTTGAACTCCCGAACACCTAATTTCACGTGGCCGTGTTACGAGGTTTCTGGTGGTGCATTGATCCAACCAGCTTTGACTTTCAGATGCGAGCTTGATACGTATTTTCGATTCTTCCGCGTTTTCTATTCGACGTTCCAAAAATTATTAGCTGTAAGAGATAATTTCATAAAATATGAAACGATTAATACGTAACAATGTGTTAATAGGTCAAAAGATTGTACGAAAATATTTTAACAATATCGAACGATGCGTTTGGTAACCAGAAAAATTTCATTAAACAATTTACCAATTCCCAATGTTTTAGACGAATATTAATATACTGATAGCGTATTTAATTTTACAAAATGTAATAAAATAGAAAAATTATATATGTAATATTATAACCATAATGAATCATATATTTTATGCATCTATGACGAAAATT